CTCAGAAAAAATTAAAAGTACTGCATCGATGTCAAGCAGTGAATTCAATACCTTTATTTTCTTTTGTTATTGTCAAGATTTTACTTTATTTGCTTTTTGTTTTTCTCTCTCTTTTTTTCTTTTTTGAGAAATTCCATTTCTAGGTCTTCTATATTATGCTTTAAGTTGAATTACATTTTCATGATTGTCTCTTTAGTTATTGGTATTGTAAAAAGTTCTGATAGGTATTTGAATTTTTTTAAAAAATTTCTAATAGATGGTTCGAACTTCCAAAATTATATTTAGATCTTTATGTACTTTAAAAATGTTTCTAATTGATCTTGAACTCTTAAAGTTGTATTTATTGATCCATCTCAAGTCTGTAATAGGTTCCAAATTTTTAAGATGGTATCTATTCAATCTCTTAAAAAGAACGAATAGTCTATAAACTTTCAAGGTTATGTCTGTTTGGTCTCTTAAAATTTTGTAATAGGTTATTTTTGAACCTTCAAAGTCGTATTTGATTTATGTATTCAGAAAGTTTCTCATAAATGCCTTTACTTTAAAATGTTATCAACGGAGTTCATGAATTTTGAAAATTTATCTTGAGTTCCTGTACTTTTAAAAATGCTCTAATAGATTCAGAACATTTAAATTTTTTCTTTTTGTCTAATACATCCCTATCATTACACTCCATCATTTTAACATTTACACGACATAGAAACTATATTATTTGAGAATTACACGACCACTTAATTTCAAGCAAGCCTTTCTTTTTTATGGTATAAATGTAAACAAACGTAGCTAAGGACGTTGGCTTATTAGAATCCTTTAGTTACTTATTACAAACTTTTTAAACTAGACATAAGTACAAAAGTTTAAACAATAAATTTAAAATTTAACCTAAAACTTTACTACAATTTGTTTGAAATTAAAATTGTGAAAGTTATGGTTTTTTTTGATACATAAATTGAAAATCATTATAATTGTGGTAGTTATATTATATATGACTTTTTTATTATTATTATATCATCAAAAATAAAATAATAATAAAAAAAGGGTAAGCGATTACAAATTGAATATAAATTTAGAAGCGAATCCATAAAGAATCTAATTAGGAATAGGATTAGAGTAATGAAAGCGGTTGTTTTGGCCCACAATCAACCTTGTAATTGGAACCATCTGCACGCTTCTCCACTTGGTGTACGGCTCCTCTTCTTTTATTCTGGTTTTTGGATGGGATTCTTTCTTTTTGTTTCTCCCTTTCTTTTTTCTTCTTTTCTTATTCTTCTATTTTGTATTTTAGTATCTCAATCCATCTCAGAAATTATGGAAGAACACCGTCACAGTGCGGCTGATAGTTTTAATCGAACGGATTTATGAGAGATAAACTACGAGAGTATTTTGAATCTATATCTAATGGATACTTCAACCTTGATGTCTCATCCCTGCTCTAATCATGTGGCACATATTTTACCTACTTTGATTTGATTTTATAAGTAGTTAAAATTTTGTGGAGGTTAGAAAGATAATTTGTAGGGAATTTAGATTATGAATATGCTGTTGATAATGTCTTGATCAATATTGAATGATAAGCCACCAAATTCCCAATTCAAGATTTTTGGCCAAGTGGATTTCCAATTGCAACTACCCTTTAATTAAGATCATGAACCGCTCAAATGCCTGCACCTTTATCTTTTTTGTTTTTTTATGTTTTCTTTAACCTCAAAAAATAATAACAACAAAAAGAAAAAAAGAAAAAAAAAAGCACTCTGTTTATACTTGAGACAGCAGTATCCAACTATCTAGCATAAATATACATTTTTTTAATATGTTTTCCAAAATTAATTTTTAAAATGTTTCTATTTTTCTTTTTAGAAAAACTTCATTTTAATAGTTAATTCTTTGGTGGATAACAAATTTAAGAGACAATTAGCAGTATTTTATTTTTTTTTTTAATTTTAATCAACTTCATTTCACCATGACAATAATAATTACTTTTGAACTCATCTTGTCGTAACTTTGTCCCGCTTAATTAACAAATGACAAATTTTAGTCAATTTGCTATTGCTCACGGAAAATGACAAATACTCTTCTTCTTAAGGTTAGATTCAAATCTTCCTACTTTCTATATTTTTTGTACTTAGAGAAAATAAATAAATAAACATAAATATTAGTCTAACTTAAGTTTAGTAAGATGTATTAACACTCTTTATAGGTTATAGGTTAGGATTTCGAATATCTACTTGCATCTATGTTACAATATTAAAAAAAACTAACAAAAAGCTGCTAACAAACATTAAAAAAAAAAAAAAAGAGAGATAAAAGAAATAGAAGAATCAATCAAAATTTAAAATTAAGTCAAAGATCATGTTTTAAACGTAGAATTTATTCAAAATAAATTTCTTCCCTAGTAACTAACCATGGTTGATTATCTTTGTGAGGTTTTACCAATCATGGAGACTAAATTGAAGCTAAATTATGCAATAGTGACTAAATATTGAAACTTTTAAAATCATAGAGACCAAATCAAAATGATGTAAAAACAACACCGAACCAAGATTTTAATTTAGCCTACTATAAACTCTTTTTAGCGGTATTATTTTTCCTCCATACTTGCACCACTAAATCAAAATTAAGCCTCTTGTCACCATGGAAGGGGATCATATAATTAGGAATTATAATAAGACGTAACATGTCTTGCAATAGGAGGTTGGGAAACTTGTTTAAAAAGCTTGTATTAAAAAGTGATTCAAAAGAAATAATAATAAAAAGATAGGATCTTTGAAGCTTGGATTTGATATATTAAAGCGATAGATCAATGTAGACACATGAAAGTGGGCATTATGCTCAAACTAAAGCAAAGGTTATCTATTAGATCTCCTTTTTGGGCAATGAAAATGAAAGCTTTGTTAGTTTTTTAAATTCAAATTGGTACTCTGCAATCAAGTACACAGATATTTGAAATACAATAATGACAGATGTGAATATATCTGGATACAACTGTTGAAAAGTTCAAAAAAGTGTATATATTTTTTTAACTCTATTATTAGATGTTATATGTTTAATTAAGGTGAAATCGGTCTTACAAAAACTTAAGTGATGATATTTAAAAAAACGCTTAATTTTAGAGTTTTTTTATGATTGAACCATCGAAAAGGAATGTGCACCTTATTGGTATAGATAATCCTTCCTTTTTTTCGAAGGAAAAACAGACAATACTCAAAACTAAGAAAGACACAGTAGAACTGAGTATGAAGATTGCAACCAAAAAATAAAGGAGACCACTTGGGATCTCCGAACAAATATGGAGGCCTAAAAGTTGAGAAGCCATGACAAGCAAGTCAATCCCCATTGATTTGCCTTCGAAATAAATATGTTGGATGTCAACCTCCCACTCTGGGAGAGAAGCTGACCAATACTAAAAATTAGAGAACGAAGAAAGCCGAATGATCTGATATTTTTTTACTAGAATATTGCAAACCACTTGAGAGTCAACCTCAACCATCGAATGATAATACCCCAAAGACCAAGCTAAAATCCAAACTTGAGAAGACCCCCTGAAGTTCAGCGCCCATGACCGACGTTGTATAACTTAGATTATGCCTAAAACCTTCAATCTAGTTACCATCTGAATCCTTGATGAGACTACCAGCACTTGCTACTCAGGATCCTTTTCATTTAAATGTAATATCGGTTTATTCATGTAGACCTCCTCTACTCGAGTGTACAAGTACAATGCTAAGTTTATCGATTACAACCTAAGATAAATAATTGGAAGTTAAATTATTAAATTTGGAAACTATATAGTTGTTTTGTTGCTTATTTTTTTTTATATCAATCATCCAAAACAACCCTCAATGGTTATGATATCCTTACCTCTCCAAAGGGCCATATGTTAAAATTCCCACCCATATATTTGTGTTGCAATAATTTTCTAAACTAGTTTAAGGTTTATAAATAATTTTTTTTAAAAAGTTCCCATTTGAAACAGATCCTTAATGAGCCAAAGTGGGTTGCATTTTAAGGCCCATTTAAAGGCATTAGATGGGCTGGACATGGGGTAGGCTAAACCCAAAGAAGCGGTGGGCCTAAACATTGGGTTGGGTCAATGAAAGAAAATCAGAAAAGTTCCAAAAATATTGTTTGTTAAGATCCAGTATAAATTAAGGGTTTTTTTTCCCCACCGAATTATGTTGAAAGCAAATCAAAGCATACGAAGAAACCAAGTAAAGAGAGAGAAATAGGAAAATAAAAATATTGTGGGAAAAATCTTAATTTTAAAAAGGTCAAATTATGAAATTTATTTAGTTGGTATGGTTTTGAAAATCCTAATTCAGTCTTCTTATGGTTTGAGTTTAGGGAATCACATATATCATCCCTAAATCCAATATAATCAATCTTCGATACAATAATAAAATAAATATATTAAAGAGGTTTTATTAAATTAGAAATACCAATTTGAATATATGCTCCAACTCCAAGAATCAATTGTACTCACAAAAAAATAAAAATAAAAAATTCCAAGAATCAAATTTGTAATTCAAGAAGTAAAACATTTCATTTTACTATTAAAAAGGTTAATAATTATCATTTTTAAATAAAATTTTATATTACATATCTGTTTGAGCATAATACAGCTATTTTCAACAAAAATATCATAAATTTGAATCTCATATTTTATAAAAAAAATAATAAAAATAAAAGATTTGATTTTTTTTTTTGTTTTACGTTTACCAAACGAAGCCTTTTCTTTTATAGCGTCATTAAACGAAGACTTGGTTTTGTTTTTGAAAATGATTAAAGGAAGAGTTGAAGATTATGAATGAAATAAATTGTAGGTTTTAATTTGGTTTTGCGAAGGAAAAGGGTGACATTCAAAACCCGATAGCCCCTGGCACGTTCCTTCCTTAATAATCTACTGCTCAACAGTGGATCCACGCCTGCTCTCGTATTGCTTTCAGGCTTCAACTTTAAATTCTAGTTTGTTTGTCGTCACATATATCATACGCGTACGCTACCCTTGATTCATTTTTCTTCCCTTTGTTGCTATTCCGTTCTGTGTAATTCGAACAATTTCGGCACCTTTTTCCCTACTCTTCTTTCACTTTCTTTTTCTTTTTCAATTCCCCTTTTGTTTTTAATCGCGGGTTCCTCGCTGATGCCCATTTGATTTCCCCTCATCCATGATCTATTCTTTTTTGTTGCAGTGAATTGTGCTGTCAGCTGGGGGTCGGGGGCCTCTAATCGCGTTTTCCGGTAAAGGGTCTGTTTCAATTTCACTCATTTTTGTTGTTATGGCTTCTTCTCACAATACTCATTCCGAGACTGCAAAAACCGAGCAAATTCTAACTGAATTCTTTGCTAAAACGCTACAAATTGTACTGGAATCGAGGTCACCTTGTATCTCGTCGCGTAATTTCAGTGGGGAACAAGTTTTGTCGTCTCCATCTTCCTCCTCCTCGTCCTCCTCCAGTATGAGGCCGAGGGATAAGTGGTTCAATTTGGCCCTTCGTGAATGCTCTGCAGCGTTAGAGAACATTGATCTCTGGCGTCAGAGCTATCATGAACCCATGGTGGTAGATGTTATTTTGGTTCAGAGGCAATTTGGTTTAGACTCAGTCAATGCTTCTCCTAGGAAAGATCTTGTTAGGAACTTGTCTCTGAAAGATAAATATTCACTCTCTTTCAATTCTGATAAGGACGAGTTTGGATGTGATACCAAGAGCGAGAAGGTTGTAGAGAGATGGATGGTGCATTACGAAACTAGAAAAAACAGGGATGGCAATTCCGGTAGCAGAAGGTCTGGTACTAATACTTTACACACCTTCTATAAAAAGACCATATTACTCTTAAGGTCCCTGTATGCCTTTGTGAGGCTTTTACCAGCATATAAGGTTTTTCAAGATATCAGTTCATCTGGTCAAATTCACCCCTTTACTCTTGCTCATCGTGTGTCTTCATTCGCGGAGCCTTTCACTCGGAGAGAAGAGGCAGAAATGCAGCGTTTTGCGTTCACTCCGGTGGACACTTCTTGTGGTAGACTCTGTCTCTCGGTGTTGTATCGCTCATCCCTCTCTGATATAAGCTCTGAACCATCAACTCCCATGTCTCCTCAAGTTATTCCTGAATATGTTGGGAGCCCATTGGCAGATCCATTAAAAAGGTTTCCATCACTCCCTGTCACGATAGCACCATCTCAAGGATCTACATCTTCATTGCCTTTCTCAAGACGTCATAGTTGGAGTTATGACCGCTATAGAGCCTCTCCCCCTTCGGTCTCTTTTTCACCTTCGCCAACACATTCAGAGTCTCATGCTTTAATTTCGAATCCAGCCTTTCGTCGCTTGCCCCCTTCAAGCTTACCTCCACACCCGCCTGAAATGGTTCTGGGACATAAAGAGAATATGAATTATGATGAATATTATCCTTCGCCGGTCTATTCTAACTCACCCTCACTGTCACCACCAATTGGGATCCCTGTAAGGCGATTACCAAATGGCCTATTGCAGTCTGAAAGTGCTCCTCCGAGTGCACCTATAGCAAAGCTTCCCCACTCGCCTGCATTGTTAAGTAAACCAAATTTGCCCCCATCCCCTCCCCTAAAAGCTTCTGGACCTGGTATTTCTAAAATTAATAGAGATATTGGTCCGTTGCAGGGTGGCTCTGCAATTGGAAAGGTATGTTTCTCGATTTCCGTTATTTCGCTATCTGAATGTGTTATGTTCAATGTCTTGATTTCTTTTTATCTGCTTCAGTCATCTTCTCTTGGAAGAGATGAAACCCGAAGGCTTTCAGGCTGGAGGTCATCATCCAATAACTCACCACAAATTTCAATTTCAAGAAGCTCCAGCAGATCTTTTCCAGATGATTTAGATGATACAGAGTTTCCTTGCCCGTTTGATGTGGATGATGATGAACTGACGGATAGAGGTAGCAGGTAATGTTGGAAACAACTGCATACCTTATTCTCTTTCTGTGACGATAATAACTAAATTTGCTGACATGTTGTAATTGAATTGACTTCCCTGCTTACGTTTGAGATCCTAATTTGTTGAAGGTAAAAGTTTAAGGGACACCAATAGGAGAGAAATAATAAACCTATTTCTTATGCTTCTCGTATACTTCCTTAATTTACAACAAAAAGCTTCTTTTTTTTTTTTGCTTGTTACTACTGCTATGGAAAATGAACCCAATAAGCCCCTCTCTCTGCTTTATACTAGTTCCATTGATATGCTGCTTTGTTAATTTCTAACGAAAAGCTTATATGTATTACTGTATGTGGGCAAATCACTAGTGGAAATTACCTTCAATAGGAGAAGGGGAAACTACCTTCCATCTAACAAGATGACTGCCACATCCCAAGAGAAATCCCCAAGAAGTCATTGACTTGACAGGGGCCTGTGTACATCACTGATAATTGGGCTTCTTGTAATTCATCAAAATTATTATATTAGATGGTTTGAAGAGCAATTTGGATGGAGAAAATCTTAAGGGGGCATTTGGGGTGCGTTCTTAAGCTTGGTTTAAGAGGAGGGTTTAGGAAGTCTGGATTTAGTAAAATTATGTGTGAGGGGCTTGAATAGTAAGCTACTATTCAAGCTTGTGGGTTCCAATTGAACTTAGGCTTGGAAATTATTCCCCTCAAACATGGGTTAGGCTTCCACCTTAAGCCCAATCCACACCCCAAAGACTCGCTAAAAGTTCATCTATCCACATCATCAAGTCTACTGGCAAATGTGTTTTGCCATTTCACTTTGAGGGACACCTCATCATTGAAACCCATTTAGTTTCCAGGAACCATACAAATGAGTGTAGAGTTCAAGCCTTTCATGAATGTACATTAACATATGCTCACAAAAACCAATAAACCTTAGTGGTGGTGTGAGCAACATTGAGATTGTTAGTGCTTTTGATGAGGAAGCAATCGGTTCAAACCAACTAGACTTTGATGAAGAACTTTACAAGTTTCATACCTAAACTTATTTTCTCACTTAAAATGTTCAAATCACTATATCTCACCCAGGATGAGTTAGCCTCAAATAAGGAACACTAGCCAATTTAAGTTATGCTGGTAATGAAGGTAGCTCAGGAAGGAAAACCAAAGATGGGGGAAGAGTATGGATTCTGAAACTCTTAATGAGATCAGTACAAAAGATGGTTGTTTTGGAATCTAAGATGGTTGTTAAGTTGCATCATTTCACTTCCTTCAGCAACCACAAGATTTGAAAGCAATACCCACTTAGTTTTGAGTGTGAAACCTGCTAGATAATTGGTATTCCACATTTTCCATCATAAAGTTGTTTGGTCTTATTATATTTGTCCAGGGGTCAACAAAAATTTGGGCGAAGAATTGTTTAGTGAGATAGCCTTTTGGAAAGGGTACTGAGGTTTCTCGTTTCCTAGTAAAGTAATCCAAAAGGATCCACAATTGAGCAAAGGACTGTTAGAGATATGTTGTATAGAAGGAAATGAAGAATGTCTTGGCATTGATGAACTCAATGAAAAATCAAGGCTACAAAGATGATTTATAAAAACTTTAAAAATGAGTTGAAATGAATAGTTCATCCATTACTTCAAGTGCTCTTCCTTGAACTAATCTTCTTGCAGTAGCTCGGATAGTTCGAGTGTGACCAAAAGATCCATTATTATTTATTCAAATTCCAGAAGAAAAATGATAGGAATGCTATAAGGATAGATTTGGGATTTTTTTTTTTTGGTTTTGTTTTTTTTTTTTTAAGATTTGGGAATATTATTAGGGTATAAGAATATATTAGTAATTAGATAGAGAAGTTGTTAGGAAGATTTGTTATAAATAGAGTAAGGGGGAAAGGATGAAGGTGGACATTGTTTAGTGTGGTTTAGGCTTGAGTAAGAATAATTAAGGCAAGGGAGGGTCCAAGTACCTCGAATTACTTGGGAGTCATTGTGTTGTTCTATATTTTATCTTTCAATATATTTCTAGTTGTTCGGGTTGTATCGAAAAAACAAAGAGGGTAGAAAGGAATCAAAATATATGAAGCTAATATTAGTGGTCCAAGGCAGATGAGCACAAGAAAGAGACAAATTGGGATGGATATGGGCATTGGGTAGGAACTAGGAATAAGCTTGAACTTGCTGGTAGGGAGTTGAAGAATGCAAGTTGAGCTAGGTTTAATCAAAATTGATGTTGTACAGATAAGAGGTGAGCAAACCACATCAGAAGGCTGCAGTATGATGGCAATTGGTAGGAAAATGCTTGAGAAAGTGGCACAAATTTGTCAGAAAACTAATTATGGGTAGGGAACACATAAATGTGGTCCTTTAAGCGTGGTGAATGGATGGTGCCTCTTGATATATTGTGTTTTGGAGTTGTTTTGTAGTTCTATTTGAGTTTGTTTTTGTTGATTATTTAATTTGAAGATATTATTGGTTAGGTAGTTGATCTCTTGTATTAGTAAGTTTTTTGATAATAATAAACACATTTTTGGAGAATTCCTCTCCTTTATTCTTGGTTGTATCACTATTTCATACTAGGAAATGTGATTTCATCGTGGTTTGGATGGTATTAGACAAAACTAAGGTAGGATCTAATGATTTCGACAAGGGAGATTTGATTCTAGCCACTAGGGTGATTGATCACTAGAGCATCTCAGGCTTAGGTAGTTGGTAAATTGAGATGCAATGGAAAGGAGTTATGATCAAACGGCTTAGGAAATCAGGGAATCAGACTTCTAAGGTTCTTGTACGCCTGTACCACTAGGAAAAGATTTCAAATGACTAACGGAGGGCCATCACCCTTGGTCATGGGACTGAATGGACTTTTGGAAAGAAAAGCTATCAAGAATTTTGCATTGAGAAATAGAGCTTGAAGGGAGGAGATGGGAGAATACAAAAGACGAGATGTTGACTCACTGGTTTTTTGATAGAATAAAGGGACAACCAAAATTTCAACTTTAACTCTAGAGGAGAGGACTAGTGAGTGAGTTCCATAATGGTGAGGTTTCAAGAGTACATCTAAACTTGTAACACAATAGGACGGGCTACCATGAATAAGGGTTTGTACGAGTGCCAGAAACAATTTTGCTCTGAAGGATTCATGTAGTAGGGAATTGGTTCCATTGCATATGTTTGTATTACTATCAAACTTCTGTTTAAGGAAAACTGAAAAGTTGTCCATTGATGGAGTCTTCAACTTACTTGGAACCTAACCTGTCTTTGGAGCTAGCACAAACTGTGTGTTACTGTTAGTGCTTTTTGTTTGTTTTAGAGAGCCAAAAGTGAGTGACCACATAAGTTCTTTGTATTCTCAAGGCTTGAGATAGCGAGGGCGCTTCATTTGATGCAAGACTATTCACGAGAGTCGTGCTGCTTACAAGTCTGAGGAACTTGTTTGGAGTTTGGAGAGAGAATCTAAACTCATGTTGGTCTAGTTGAACAACATGTAAGTCTCCCATGGAATTTATAATAGCTTGGACGCTATTTATGTTGCGAAAGAGGTTTTATTCTGTTCAAACATAGGATATTCAAACCACATATTGTCGATCTTCCTACTGATCCCAACATTAGCACAACCTTCAATACTAAAAATTTGATAGACTACCAAGCATATCATGGTTTACACCATTTACCTATCTTGAGTCTATTTCTCAAAGAGGGGAGCTGAGGTAGGAAGATTAATCAGTTTTGGCTCCTTCGTTTATGGTCATGTCACCTTTAAATGTCTGTTGGCTGTTCAGTTAGATTTGTTAGATAGCTAGCTACTGTTAGTTGCTACTGCAAGTAGTGAGTCTAGGAAGTTCCCCAATCAACAGAAAACTGTATTGTGTACTCAACCTATGCTGCAAAGCTGACTGAAGATGTAAAGATTATTTTTGAATGAAGAAAATAATATCCAGATGCATCATATCCTTAACTAGACCCCTACAATTTTGAAAGAGGCCATAGACCCTGAGATTTATTTGCGTGACAATCTAAGATCATCATCCTAATTTCCGCCAACTCAAAAAGGTCTAACTACTACCATTTCTCTAGAAATAGGTACTCGATTGAACCTGAACCTGAATCTTTCTCGCTTAAAAGAACCTTCACTGTTCAAAAAATAGAACCTTTTCATATTATAGATAATTTCCTCAACTATGCCATCCTCTTTGTCAATACAAGAGTTATAACCATCGATAATTTTATGACCCATTTCTCGTTCTTTTTCCGATCTGACCAATGTTTAGGTATCAGTTCCAAGCAATTTGTTCCTTGTGTAATACCTCGACCACATGTGATTTTCAACTTCAGTATTTTCTCTTTGTCAAAAAAAAAAAAAAGAACTTCAGTCTTCTCCCAAGCCCCCTTGTTAAATCCCTTCGCACATGCCAATTTACTTATTTTCCAATTTCATTGTGAAAACCTCTAGTATTTCACCTGTGTGGAATAATTTCATGCTACATCTTTTTATATTCAGCATCATCGTTATTATTTTTTATTATTTTGATTAGTGAACTCAACGTTACTTTAAACACTAGTTTATCTAACTGTAAACTGGTGCAGTTGCATAAATATTTCCTATTTGCAAAAAGGTTCTGGCTATTACAGCTTCCTCAAGTATAACCTTGCTCTTCCAAACTAGAAAAAGCTGGTCCTGGAGTATGTTGTCATTTGTTAATGAGAAGCATACCCATTTGTGTTTTAATTTCAATTATTGTCTGGTTATGCTGTGCAATCATTATGCCTGAAACCGCTGGTTTGCTTTGGTGTTTTATTCAATGTTATTCTTCAGATAAGTAACAAACTTGTGTATTGAAGATAATGGAGAAAATGAAACCAGAGAATAAATATCCACCTGAAGGAAAATTACAAAGGTCTCTTCAATCAAAATAATTTGAAAAGTGGATTAGTAGCATAATTCCTTGTAGTTAACATCCTAAGGAGTGAAATAGTATAATAAAATCACATATCTTCCCAACTTTCTTCTTTCTGTCCCAAAATATTCTATGCTAACCTTCCATCAAAATTTCCTCCCTGGAGATTTGCATACAAAAAAGCTTTGGCAAAAGAGGTGATTAGAATGACCTTCTGCATCTACTTCACCATGCACCATGCTCACATGAAATTGGATTGAGACATGACTGATCATTCCTCAGACAAGGGATCATAGGAAATTTCGGAATTTCTTGGCTGTTTAGGTGACCAGGGAAATGGCATCGTAAATGGTTTTTTATTTTTTATTTTTTCCCTCTTTTCAGTGGCTGTAGTGAAGTGATTTTCCTCTTTTCTTTGATTACCGACACTTGGGGTTGTTTTCGTAATTTTTGTGTTTGCTATTAGGTTTTTTGCTAGCCCTTTTGTGGTTGGTTGGCTTCTTTTTCTGTATGGTCCTCCTCTTTTATTTCTCCTAATGAAAGTTGGCCTTTCATCCAAAAAAAAAAAAAAAAAAAGGAAAAGAGAAGAGATTGTATATGGATCTAAAAGAGAATGACCCAATGCCTCTAGTTCCCAAAATCTTCAATTTGTGGACTGACATAGCGAGACAATCAATTCTTTAAAACTCCATTCATCTACTTCCCGTCAATAAGTCCATGTAAATCCAAGATCCGATGCTGACCATATTCTGTTAAGACATAAAGAGGGGGACACTCTACGTGAGAACTTCCGTCACCACTCCAAGAACCCTTCTTGGAAACAAGTGGAACTAGCAAACGATCACTATCTTGGAAAATTTTAAAGAAATAGTTCATACTCTGAAACACTGGAAATGACTTCCCAGGATTTTTAATATGACTGTTGGCTGTATGATCCTTATTTGAACACACCCACACTAAATACAATTGAATAATGGTCACAGTGTGTGAATTAACTTAGGGACCTTAACTTACTTAAAGTGAGGGCAGCCACCTAAGGCTGGAATCGCTCTTCATGGTAGTGTGAGAAGATGTGTGTGAAATGATATCAAAATGTAGATCTTAAAAATTAGTTGACTTCATCTGTTTACGTAATTGGGTGGTGTGAGAAAATATGTGAAATGTGAATATATTGGTGTATTTTATGTGGCTATTTGACTGTATTTGTTCTTGAAAAATGTAATCTTTTTAGTGAAATGCAGTTACTTTAAGATTAAAATATACAAATATGTATGGTTAAACTCATAATTGAATAGACCAAACTCTCTCAATCCCCTATTTTTTCTGGCTCAAAGCCAGTTCTCCCCACCTTTTCCCCCTGAATTGGCATCAGAGAAAGACCCTCAAGCTAGCGAACTTCAGTGCTCCCCATTTGGTTCCGAGGGATCAGGGAAAGTTGGTTTATGAATGGAGTATTTAGATCTTTTCAGCACCAATAGATAAGCATTTATTTTACATCCTTCTTCCCATTAGGGTATTGGGTGCTTTCCTGAGAAATTAATGATTAAAATCCATATTTTTAGAGCCGGAAGTAGTGAGCATGACTGTTAAACGTGTAGTAGCATGAACATAATTTCCTTTGCATACGTTTTCCTAAACTGGTACTTCCTTCATGTATGCGCATCATATCCATTGATACATCTATAATGTAATCCAAATTGCTTTATATTTTTGTTGACTGGCTTATTGAATTTGTATTTCAAATCTTCTCCTAGACCCGAGTCCTTCGACCCAAAAGGAAATCTATGTGAGATGCTGGAACCTGGAGGATTTTTCCCCATTCGTAAATCTCAGGACGCTGCTATTGGCGCCCTAGTATGTATGCTACAAAAAGCTCCACCACTTCGCCAAGATTTCACCAATTCAGCCACGGATCATTTACGATCCTCTACACCTGACTTCCCAAGCAGAAATATCCAACAGGGAAATCAGATATCTGAGACAGTGTCTACAAAAGATCGCTATGCTGCTTCCTCTAGCGTCACAGCCTCTGGTCTTATTATGCCTAAAACTACAGCTGATGCATTGGAAGAACTACAGAACTACAGAGAGATGAAAAATTTGTTGCTCAGGCAAGCTGGGAAGACTCACACATAATCAAAATGGTCTGCAGTAGGAAACCTTATGATCTAGAGAAGTCGGTAAGACCCATGTGAATATTTAAACCGTATGGATTGAATACATGTACAGTAATTTCCTTTTCCAAGTTGCAGAGTCTGGAGCTGAAGAGTACATTGGTTGGGTTCCCTTTTTCTCATGTACATATTTATTATATATTTGAGGAGATTGAGCATCAAAGTCTATGCAGTAACGACTGTAGTATGACCCCTTACTGAGGCCACTTCCACCTCTGGCTCTATTTGTAAATATTAAATGCAAACTTGCTAAATAATTTAACTGTTTCTTCTGTAGCCCACTGGATAATTGAAGCTTTGATCCTTTTTTTTTTTTTTAAGAATTCCAAATTTTATCAAATGGAATAAGTATGTTAATAAATAAAAGCATGTTCTTCAAAACACTTTTAAGAATGGAGAATAAAAAGATAAAATGTTCCATCTAAAATTACTGAAAAAACTATTTTCTTAATTAGTGATTTTTGCAAAAGTGTTAGCATAAAAGATGTTTAGATTGAAAAGGGCAGTTTTTTAAAAGTTATCCTAAACACATTAGTATTCAAACATATATGGACCAATCATGATATGATAAATGTACTAATTTAGGTGACCTGATATAATTATATACGATATTCGTGTTGTAAAAAAAAGGAAAAGATTATTGCAAAAATATCAAATTCCAAAGAGGAATTTGTGATGCACTTAGCCACATTTTTGAGGAAAGTTCATTGGTTTAACTTTAAACTTTAAGTTTAAACAGCTTTGATGGATTCTATTTGTATTATGAACTTGCCCTGCTTTTTCAGCCAAGTTCAATCAGGCCACTTTTTTGCTAATCATTTATTCTATTCTACATAAATTAATTTTTGCAACAATCATTTGTGGATATTTCAAGTGTTTATTAAGAAAATATTTGAACAATTTTGTCTGTCTTTTAATTCCTCTAATTTTATCTCTCTTTCTAAATACTATCTTTCAATTTATCTCTCTCCCGATTTCTCATTTCTCTAGTTTTCTCTTTTCAAATACTATCTCTCCATCTTTACAATTTCCAAATAAACTTAAATAAATGATCATTTGAATAAAGAATTTGGATGAGTGGAGGAAAAAAAATCTAAAAGTGAATGAGAAAGAAAAATAATGAAATGACTAATGAAGTTTTTGTGCCTTATATGTAGTATAGACTAACTCATAGAAAGTGAGAGAATTATAGAAATATAGAGGACTCTATTGCAGGATTTGATAAAAAATAAAAAGTACACTGCTTTTTTCTTTTTAATTTCTTATATTTAATGGATTTTGATGCCAAATGAATATAAATACGACTAGCAATATTGAGGAGAAACTATTTAGGTGTTGACTAATGAGCCTCTATTTTGTGCTAATCACCATTAATTTTTTTAAAAAATAGGTGATCACCAGTTAACATCTAGATATTATTCATATTTAGAGTTTAGGTGCTAAGAGTGCTTACCACGGCTAAAAATTGGCAACTTTTTAATTTTTTTAAAAAATAGAAGAACTATCTCTTTTCCTACATTTTCTCTCTCCTTGTAAACAATTCAACAGTAGTCGACAAAATATGGATGCGAAAGTATTCTTTTTCTAATATTAATCGAATGTTAGAAAAACAAATGAATCAAAAAGTTGACTCATAGAGTAGAAGATTTATTTTTAATGGGATCATAATCAGTTTGAATGTAAGATATTCTCCTAAAGTCATGATATATTTGAAGGTAAGTTTTGCACTGGTATTATTTAAATTGTACTACGTCCTACCTTCCACAAACTTTAGAGATACCTCACTTTGAAAAAAAGAATTATAACAAAAGACAAAAGAATGATAGAGATAATGTCACGTATAGGTACCGATCCCATTTAAGAATATATCTCACGCTCGAAGAAATTACTCCAAGGTTTTTTCTTTCAACTTAAAACTTTATAAATCGGTACAAGTTGAACTTACACTCAAAAGTATGGAAGGATATATACAAGCTTTACACATATATGAATAAATTATTAAAAAAGAAAAAGGTAAAATAAATAAATAAAACTCACAAATCACCCAAATTGCTTCTTAAAAATATGTAAGAAGTATTTTTGGGATGTGAACATATGTACCCAACATGTTGACATTATAATAATGATCTTATAAATCTAAAATAATCTCAAATAAAAATATTCAATATCTTTTATTTAGAACCAAACGTCACTTGGAAAAAGCCTTGATTTGGTTTATAAGTTCCCTCTCTCTCTCTCTTCCAACATTAAATAAATAAATTGTTGTTGATGAAGAGAATCTGTCACACTCTTGACCTGATGTAAAGCACCTATTAAAAATAATAATAGATTCTTACATATTATTATTATTATTATTTATTTATTATTATTGGTATGTGATGTAATATAATGGCATATACTTCGAATTAGAATAATTCGTTTATTTATTACATCATCAGAAAAAGCTTTCTATTAAACTTTGGTTTTTGGGCCTAATGCAAACATACAATGAGACAAATCCATTCATTTCATTCTCATAGTCTTTTTTTTTTTATTATTAATAAATGAAATGGAAAGTGGGAGCTTTCTAACTTACAATGAATTCTCGGTGTTTGGTTCGTGATCTGAAAATCAAAATCTTATAATAAAGAATTTAATAGAAAAAATTGTATTATTTGTTTTTAGTTATATATATTTTGGTAACAGATTGGGAAATCAAATCCCAATTTAAAGAATTGTTCCATGGATGATGGATGTTTAATATTTGGTAGTTATGAACTAAATATAGAATTAGTTCAATATAAAATAATATTAATTAATTTATTAATGTTTTTGGTATAAATTTTGTATTATATAATTTATAATATATTATATTTTATGTTTCTATTTTCTAAACAAAAATACGAGGGAGATAGGCACCAAATAAACAAAGACAGAGAAAATGAAACAATAAGAAATGTTTTTGAGTAGGATTTCAGGTATGAGGAAAAAGTATTCAAAAGGTCTTGTAATTTTTTTTTCATATATACATTTTTTTATTTGAGTACATTCATTAGGGTTTGATGTTGGTTCGCTTTCGTCCCCCCATAATAATTAAATTTCATAATATAACACATACAAGAAATACAGTCAAATGATTTTATTTATTAACTAATTAAATAACCATGTCAACTTGCTCAACTGGTTAAGGTACCTATCTGTTCACTTTTTCGATAAAACAAGTAAAATGAAAATTTACTTTGATGAATTTATAAGCTTTCAGAAAACAAAAAAGAAACTTCAAAACTAGTTTCTTTACTTTTTAAAGATCACTTGATTCATATTTGAACATCATATATAAAACCCTAGATTATAAACCAAAAGGATAGAGCTAGCTAGAAAATTAATTCTTATAAATAATGGGACTTCTAAAATAGGGTAATATTGTTTTGGCAGCATATAGGGTAAGCTCAAAGAGTAGCATGATATATGGTCATGAAATTAGAAAAAATGGGTTTATTTTAATGGTGAATATTAATTATTAATGTTCATCAAGTTGTGCCTGTGACTGTACTGGATGAACCTTCAATTTGTGTCTGGTTGGTGGTACACTCGGCTTTCTTACCTACCTAGTTGTTAGTACATTCCAAATATATGCTCTCTTCCTCAACCAACTCAATTAACTCTGCTAATTATCAACCTGACTTTAGTTCGACGGTAATTAATAATTAGAATCTGATCAAAAGGTTGTGAATTTGAATCTTCTATACTCATGAACATTTCATTGATTTATAGGACTTTTATAGGTTACAAATATTAGTATCAAGATTAAACTATTTCCATGCCAGAGTTGTAATTCCGGAATGTATCAACATCTCTTTCTAATAGTAGAAATGTGTAGATCGAACTCACAACTTCTTGGTTGGAGATACATGTTAATTACCGCTGAGCATATTTAAAATCATGCTAGTTTTCCAAATATATCTGTATTAAATACTTCGAATTACCATAACAATTGTAATTCATACGTGAGTATGAACGAAATTAAATATTATTTAGAGGTAATTAGCTATTACAAATTTCGGTTCCCTTTCATATAGGCATGAGATAACTATTTGAAATTTCTTTTAATTAATAAATTAAATATGCTCTAACGTTACTCTCTTCTGTCTTTTACTAATTATTTTTAGTACGTCATTGGCTACGCCATTCATGTGAAGTCCAGGAGATTACAAATAAACAATTACCAAGAACTAAAAATATAATAAATATAATAATAAACAATTACCAAACTCAAAAGTAATTGGTGAGGCTCTGCCTTAGGTTTTTGTTTCCTAAATCTCACATTTTAGTGCCCTTAATTTTTTTTTTTGGAACTAATGTGACCCTTAATTAGTTTGCAGTTCTTATCCACCCTCAATATTACAAGTAGTTAGACCTTCAATTATTGAGTTTCCTTAACTATACCTTTTTTTAGTACAATATGTTGGGTGGGGAATCGAACTCATAACCTTTTGATTGGAGATATATGTCAATTACTGCTGAGCTATGTTCCGGGTAAACTATACTTTAATCATCGGGATTAAAAAAAAATTATTTAAAGAAAAACCATTTCAATTGAAAGGTAAAGGAGAAACATACCAAAAAAAAAAAAAAAGAGCATGAGTAAAAGCACTCCTAGTGATGAGAAAAATGGTAGATATATCATAATTAGAAAAGAGATAGGATTTTGATGACCTAGACGAGACCGAGATTTTGATGAACGAGACGATACCGAGATTTTTATATCTTCCAAGATGTGAGCAAAAGATCTTGAGGAATCCATGAAGTTGTGATTAATTATTTCTTTCTAACCGTACATTCAAGATATTCGAACCCACAACATTATTGGACTAAAGAGTGTTTCTAGAGCCATTAAGAGGTCTGGAAAGACCCTCTTTTAGGAAATCATCAATTCTGCTCGGGAGAACAAGAGGAAGCTTGAAAATGTTAAGAGAGGCGTTGTAAAAGCACAGTGCAAGAGTAAATGGTGCAGATATTCTCTCCAACAAATGCATAAGATGCACCAACTTGGATTTGTTTAACTATTGCTTCAAACTTATCGGTTATTTAAATAGCCTCTCCAACTTTATTTGAAAAAATGGATAATAACATAAGTGTCATGATATGTTTCATCGATAAATTTAGAGAAAGATGCCCCAATATATAATAGATAATAAATGGTAACTTTTAATATAATATGTCATTTATCAAAAGCTTTTAAAATACACAACTTCTAAGAATGGATGTACTTTGATCTATGGATAATTTATGTCGCACTAAATGTCTACGGGTCCTTGTTTAAAAGAAACATAATATATCAAATAATGTATATTACATCCATTTTTAAAATGAAATGCTAGGAGGATTGAGGATATACTTGAAATTGGACTACTTTCGGATGATATTATTACTATTAAAAAAGTGATGGTACAAAAATGATGCAATTGATGAACTTTGAAAGTATTGCCAACCCAAAAAGGGAAACAAAGCAAAGGAATATCCCAAATATTCCAAGGTTTCTTCACCAAAACCCCATTAATTTAAGACTATATCTTTAGGACACAAACAGAAGTGATTTTTGTCCATTTCTGTCATGTTTGCAATGAAAGAGAGATAATTCCCCTCTTTTGTTTCTTTTGAAGTCTTGATCACTACCAATCAAATTTAATTTAAGATGAAAGAATGCAAATGAAAGGTTGACAAAGGATGGGTAAATTACTAATAGCTAGGCTTATAATCTGTATTAATTAAGTTTAAATTTATGCCAAGCTTGATTCACATTAAACGATTTTTTGAAAATTTTTACATCGTTTTTTTTTTGTGTTAAAATTAATGGGTTAATTAGCAGAAATTTAATAGGGGGTAAAAATTGCAACACTCAACCTAATGGGTTGGATAAATTTAATTCATATATTGGATATCTAATATTCCCCCTCACTTGTGGGCGAGGCCTCGCCCACAGAACCTCCCGCTCTGATACCATCTAAAGAATGAATAAACTACCACCCAACCCAAAAGCTTAAACTGATGTATTGGATATCTAATAGTCCCTACTAATTATAGATAGTTAGCCTCGTCGACCCAAACAAAGTGTTTGTAACGCCCCAGGCCTAAGATTCAAAAATTGAGTTTGGCACCTAATTACCCTGACATCCTCCTGCATCTCCTGTGACCTGGCTTCGCCACTATCCAACCCAAGATTGCTCCAAGCATAGTATGCTAAACTTTGGAGTACATGTATAACTATTAATCCTTTTAAACCTTTCTTAATCATGCTTCCATGATCTTAGGATCCCTCTCATTCAAATGTGACGTCGGTTCATCTATGTACCCCTCCTCTCTACTCGAGTGTCACAGTTAAAACCTCAATTGCAATGCAACTAATTACTTCTCTCAACCAACAACTCTATCTTTAGTTTAGAATCCTTTTATCTCAAGCTCTTTCATATGAGTTTTATCTCTAATTTGATATAAAGTAGTCTCATTTTAGCAACACTCAAACATCTCCCCCTAAAAAAGATAGGCGCCTTTACATTTTCACGTAATTAAGTACACTTTTTCTACACTACAACAAAATTGATAATGGTCATATATTCAAGTAAGTTACACTTTTTCCACACACTACAAAAGATTGATAAACATTGATCACTATGTATGAGATTTATGATTATGTATGAGACTTAATAGTTAGAGTCATTTCAACAAATAACTTATGGCCGATATTGGTTAAACCTTCTTCCTGTTTTGCAATGATTGGCCCAAGAGATTCCATCTACAATATTCTCGTCAATATAATAATGGATTGGAATCTTCATATATTAAATCAATTACAAAAACTTGGGTTCATAACTATATCAATTTCTTTATATTTTTTCCTAGTTAAACCAACAAAAAAAAATACTTCATAATGGGTGCTTATGTGATGTGAGCATTAATTCCTTCTCTCTCATTTATATATATACACATTGAGTCATTGACATAGCAGAAGATATACCAATTCGTGTGTCTCAGCTCTTCAATTTCTATCTTTGAATTCAATGGAGCTCGAACCCATTGAGTTCCTCACCAACTACAGTTACTTTCCAGCTGAAACCTTCATCCAAACTCATGAATTTGCTGAACACAGCCATGGAAATAGTTCTTGCTATTCCCACTCAGAAAACAACTCCTCCCAAAACTCCCTCCAAGATGGAAGCTTTTTGGAATATGGTGATCAAGATCTGATTTTTCTTGAAGAAGCATTGGAATTCGATCCAACCAATTACAACCCAGATTTCCTTTCGACCAGCACGGATCAAAATCCTGCAGAAATGGATTCATGGATCCAACCCAATGAAAAAGATGGCTCCTTTTTCGAGGGAATTCAAGCAGAGCTAATGGAAGAAGAGAGCTTAACGGATCTCTTATTGGCCGCAGCTGAGGCTGTTGAAGCACAAAACCAGCCACTTGTTTCAGTTTTGATCGAAAAGCTGAAGAATTTACTTTTATGCGATTCTGGCTCATCACCATTCAACCGGTTGGCTTGGTTCTTCACGCAAGGCCTCCATTATAAGAGTACTCTCACAAATTTTTTTCCACCTCGTGAAATGGCTGATCAAGAAAAGAAAAACTCAATTTCTGCCTTTCAGATGCTTCAGGAGCTCTCTCCTTATATAAAGTTTGCTCACTTCACAGCCAACCAAGCGATTCTTGAGGCAGCACAAGGAGAGGAAGCGCTTCACGTCATAGATTTTGACATCATGGAGGGGATCCAATGGCCGCCATTGATGGCTGATCTTGCAGCTAAGAAAGATTTCTCCTTGTTAAGGTTGACAGCTGTTGTACAGGACCATGAAAACGAGACAAAGATTGAGCAGACAGGGAGGAGGCTGTCAGAGTTTGCCAAATCAATCAATTTCCCCTTCGAATTCGATCACATGAGGATAGAAAAAGCAGAGAACTTTGGCAAAATTCAAGTGGGTCAGGCTGTAATAGCCAATTGCAGTGGGATTTTGCACCACATTTTGAGCCATAGCAACATATCAAAGCTTGAAACTTTCTTAAGTGGGGCTGCCAAATTGTCCCCAAAATGTGTGGTTTTGGTTGAAGAAGAGCTTTTTAAGGTCTCCAAGCCCCAACCCATGTCCTTTGTGGAGTTCTTCTTTGAGGCCTTCCACCATTTCTCTGCTCTTTCTGACTCACTTCTCAGGTGCTTTTGTGGGGCTTATGAAAGTGGGTTCAGGCAGGTGGAGGAGTTCTTGGGGGCAAGGATTTTGGAGTCAGTGAGGCAATTCCCTTGTGATGATAATGTGAGAAACTTGTTGAGCAATGGGTTTGATCATTACTTGAAAGGCTACAAGAAAATTCCTTTCAGTTCTTTCAATCGTTGCCAAGCTAAGTATTTGGTGAGTTTGTTCAGAGGAGATTTTTGGGTGCAGCATGAGAAGTGCAGGCTAAGTTTGTGTTGGAAGTCAAGGCCATTGTGTACAGCTACAATTTGGGTTCCAAGAGTAAAAAGTGGAGCAAAAATATGAATCAGATTCAAGATCAGTTACTCAACAAATCATTTTATTTTATTTTTTGAAATTTTTATTATTGTGTATAAATATAATTATTTTGTTAGCTTAATTAATACCCTTGAATGAGAGAGTTTAGCATCATTCTACATTTTCCTTAAACCTTCAATATCCAACTATTAAACAACGTATTAGAAACACATAATAACCAATCATAAACGTCACCCAATCGTCCGCCCTTCGGGGATGGTCTTAGCATCGAGGAACATGTACTAGGGTGTACGTGCTACTCGTTCATACAATGGACCGAGACAAAAGGAATTACAAAATTTTTCCATATCAGTGATCAGTACCAACGAATAGGATAGAATGAATGGAAGAACTCCGTTCACTGCCTAAAAATAAAAAGAAATAAAAAAAGATTTAGTATATCATTTTATTGTGTATCAAATTTATGATTTCTATTGGTGCAAATCCAATCACTTCAATTTCAGATGAGAAAGAATTTTCCTTCGATAACAAATGCTTATCCATAAAACAATTATGATCTTATTCTTCAAAGAACGGACTAAGAGGGTAGACTTCATAATTAAATACAGTTACTGTATAGGTAGATCTCGTTGTAAAAGATCGATTACTAGTTAATTCAACTCGTTAAAACTAGATTTGAATTCTACCAATATTGTCAAGAAAATACACTTCAATGGTTTATCGTAGCGTGAGAGGGAGATTACGATTAAACCATTTTTCTCAAAATAAGTATTTTTAGTGGAAGAAGGAATTGTGTCATGCACATCAACTCTAGGACCAATTCAATATTGAATTAATTTTAATTAATAAGAATAAAGAAATTAGTAGTTTATTAATTAATGTTATTGCATAATTAAACATCACCAAATTCAATACTCCAATTGACATTGTTCTTCCATCACTTCAGTTGCCGTCTAAAACGGAAGAATTTTCGATAATGAACAAACAAAATGGAACTTTTTTTTCTTGGTCATGGACCCATGACAATAACCCTATTTTATTACAATTTTACGACAAAAACATGATGTAAAAACTGTTCCTCTTGGGACATTACACAAATGACAATTTACACTTTGTTGTGTTGGGCCTATGTTTCTAGGTTTCTTCGCTTCTTGATGTCAAAGTTTTTGCTGTTTCTTTTTTCTTTCTACTCCAAATTTGGGGTTTGGCTATGTTTTATTGTTGACTTGATCTAGTAATTAGTTGAAAGTAGAAGCTTTCAATTTTGATTTGCAGACTTCTTCTCCGTATTTAGAGATTGGAGATGATGCTGATTTTTTGGTTTTAATTACACTTCTTGCTTTGATATGTCACCATCATAATATGTTATATTAATATCAAATTAATCTAACGCATTCTTATTCTTCACTTCATCATTGTTATCTATGTACTTCTAAACTTATCTTACAATTTCAAAACACGTCACAATTTTCTATTTTTAAGTAGATTCTTTGACCTCAAAGAAAAGAATAGATTAAACGTCCGCTTTAAATTAACGCTTTCTCTATCTAATATCTCTTCTTCCCTCTCTAACATTTTTCTCTTCTAACTTATCTCTACACAACTTTCTATTGGAGATAAATGTCAATTACTGCTGAACCATGCTCACTTTGACCAACTATCAAGTCCTTTATTTACAACTATCTTTTGAATAGAAATACATGGACTCAACGGGGCGTGTGTGTATATAAAATACATAATAAGAACCAAGAACTTCATTAAAATAATCCCAATGAGACAAGCTAGAGACATGAAAGGCAAGAGAGGAAGGTGTACTACAACTACAAGTTGATGGTAGTACTACATCTGAATTTTTAAAAATTTTTATTTTTTTGAAAGAGACATCCAACGGCAGAAAATTGATGCCAATTAAGGAGGCATATAAAAAATTAATAAGAGAAACACAAATGACAATGCCTCATTGAAATTGAACCATCATCCTCTCCCCACGACAACTTTTATATTTTACAAAAATAAACTCCTCTCCTCTTGGCTCTTCCATTTATATGCCATTTGGTTCCCACTTTGAGATCCTCGCTGAAAATTGAAAAACAGAGCTAAAGCTTATATTTTGACAATAATTTTCAAACAAAGGACAAGACAGAAGTTAATTGATTTTTTATATGAATTTATCACTTGTACACCATCTAGCTTCTCAGTTCCAAAAAATAAAACTAAATCAAGCGAATCAAGAAGGGTAGGAGAGAATTAGTAACATTGCTCTTCACTATTACTGAAACCATGAACAAATTCCCGTAACAAATCTATTGCTATTTATTAGGTAAATAACCAATCCAATATAATGTCTTCTTCTTTCTTTTCCTTGAGACTGTTGAGCATCATCACCTTCCAACCTTTGAGCTTGGCTTGCCAGTTTCCAGTGGAGTGAACATGAAGTTCCCAGAAAATATTGCTTCTTTGTCTGCCAGTTCGAATGCAGAATTTGTCAGTCACAAATTACATGAGACACTTGCAGGATAAAAATTTATTACCCAGATTCACAGTTTAAAATACCAAAGGGTGCAGAGCCAAGAAGGTGTATTCAGAATAGCAAATAGCAGGGGAATCAATGACAACTAGTTCCTCTGGTTTCACACGTAAGGGATTGAGATTGAGACATGGCATATGGTTATGAAATGATCAAAGATGTAGATCAATCGCCCTACTGCATTTGAAGTTTAACAATTTCCCCTATCAATTTTCTTTTCTTCTTTAGGCATGAAAGTGGAAGACACAATACATAAGCAGAAGACTGTGTAAATTGGCCAGAGTGAAAGTAGAGGGTATTAATTTATCTGTGTTTTTCAATATCCATTCATCCATAAATTCTGATTGGTGATCAGGCAAACCAGGTTCCCAGGAGCTAAAGCTACAAAAACTCGATTAGGCCCCTGGATTATTTTAACTAAACAGGAAGGATAGAGCCAAACATAATTGAGAAACCACAGGAAGTGGAAGAATATTAAACGAGTTCTCATTTCCCCCTGTTTTCCCTTCCCTGTAGAAAGAGGTTATCTATGAATAAACTATCTTTCCACGAGGGAACAAATTATCATATTCTATCAGACCATCGAGAAGCTACAGAATAAACGTGTATACATAAAAAAGTTACAATCTACCTGTCAAGGACAGGCAACTAACTTCACGACGAGTATACCTAGCCATTGCCTGCATTTGCATTAAAATACAAGTCAGTGGTTATCTAAAGAAAATATCTAACAATCATTCTGTCGATGGTAAACAATATGATGTATCAGAGAATTATCAACTGATAGTGGCTTTGACTCCAAATATAAAATTCTGAGATGGAAATAATCCCAAACATTGATGTTTCCTTAGAATCAAGATCACATCATGCTAATTAATCATGGCAGCCAGAGAGTGATTTTGGGAGGATGTTTGGGGTTGTTTGCTTCAGAATTAATCCCAAACATTGATGTTTGCTTCTTCTGTCTGTGATTGTTTTTCTTCAGGTTTATGTGGTTCGCCTACCTCGCACCATAGAGTGTAGTTCAACGCTGGAGGAGGTTCTTCATCACCCTGGTTTAGGGACAGAGATATGTTCTTGTGGCAGGCAGGTTCCAGCTGTTCTATGGGACTTAGGGATGGAGAGAAATAAAAGAAATTATAGAGGGGTTGGGAGGTCTTGGGAGGACGTTTGAGCTCTTATTTGGTTTCATATCTCCCTTTGGGTTTCAGTGTCCAAAGCGTTTTTAATTACTCTTTAGGTT